GCATGTGACAAGAGTCAATCCTGAAGGCCGGCCTCTTCCCGCGACATCGGCATTGGAAGAGGGCCATTCATTCTACTAGGGTGTTGCTGTCTTTACATTACAAGTCCATAGGTTAAGCCATAGAGCAAGGAACAGAAGGAGTTACAACTACCTTAATTTAAGTCTCCCGAAGCTATCCATAGCCTACCTCACCTGTGTCAACTCGGCTGGTACATGTAATTGCTGGGCATTCTCATCAATGGCAACCAGTTCGCTGAATGGATCCTCGTCCGACTCGGAACATCAGATCGATACTGACAGCGTGCAGTTCAGGTAGGCCTAGACCTTTAAATTATTACAGTATCTAGGGAGGAACGTGAGGCCTATAACTTAGCCTGCTTCTAGAATTTGGAGATGAATTCATGAACTCCCAAAAATCCAGGCAAATGCTACATGTACTACCCTTCAAATCAAATGGGGCTACAAGAGACTTGTGGGACAAAACCTCCGGTAAATAGAAATCTCATTTTGTAGAATAAGCCATTTCAGTGTTTCGCAAGGAATTCTGGGATTGAATTTGGATAAATAAAACCCACATGGTATAGGCAGCTGGCGTTTCGTGCCTGGGGAGTTGTGCAGAAGCCTGCGCGGAGATCCGTCGATCAGCTGTGCGAAGTAGTTGAGCTAGTACCTAATTAAACCAAATTTTCAGCTTTTTGTGCTGATCTTTGTGTTACCTTTAATAAAATTTTTAACAACCCACAAAGTCAGTTTTGCTTGGATCACTTGGAAAAAATGGGACTTTTGTGAGATATTTACAAATGGATTGGCGTGCGTGTTCTGGTCCATGATGTACATGTATGTTACTAGACTGCCGTTGAAATTTTCTCGCACGTATTTTGTTACGTTTTTTACCTGTAAACAGGGTCCAACGAATACTCTTTATAGGACAAAGGATCTTAATTATGAGCCAATGTACATAGGCCTACAGTGCAGTGTTACGATATGACATGGGCGTAGGCCTACGAGTACTACGAACGATGTACGAGTTTTAAATCGAGTTATTTTGAACTTTCTGCAGTGATATGAATTTACAAAAAAAAATGAGGAGATTATGAAGTCGCCTGTTGTATATTCAAGGCACACAGTAGAGCGTCCTTTTTCTTTTGCAATTCGATGTGAATCGGAAAGGGAATCCGAAAAACTTTCTTACTACCCACTGCAAAACGTGCATTGCTATGGAACGGTGCGGTTTGTTTATCCAAAAAAAGGGTTGTTAAGGCCAGTTGGCGCGTGCGCAATCAAAACTTCGAAATGGCTTATCGAGAGATATAAGAACTCCACCATTCCCGTTCTGACCAAACATTTGTAGTTCTTATTGTAACACTGTTTTAATTTTTCTTTTTATATTTCTTTGTAAAATTTGTCTTATCATGTAAAACCTGATGATAGGATTTTTGAAATTATTTTAATTGAAGGATTTTATTTTCTACAAATGTTCATATTGAGGAATTTTAAAATAGTAAATTTTTGAAGTTTTATTGAAAGCTGGTCCTGTCAGTGATTTAATTGTCAGCCTAATAATAATAAAAATGTTAGGGCTGCAGTGCAGAATGACGTGTTCATGTACGGTAAATCATGTGGTGACTCTTTGTGGCACATGTAATATTTTGTGTTGTGTTACAATTAACATGATGCATTGATAGATTTAGTTCAACCTGTGCACTTCACGGCCTACCTCACCTACAGTATTAATGACAGTGTAATTCAGCATGTTCAGTCACACTCGCAGATTTTAATGATAGAGTGACAGTCACTTGACATTTGCAGCATGGGCCTGTGGAAATGTTGGCTGCTTTAAGTTTAACCTGGAATGTTCAATGATGAAAAGATTGGTTTGACCAAATTAAAAGAACGAGTGTTTTGTCAGGCCACCTTGCACGTTCCAGTGAAAGTGTAAGAAAATACACCTTACCTGGTAATCTGTATCGAAGACAATCTATTCAACTTGGAGAAAACTGGCATTATTCAAGAGAAGTTGCATGCTGGAAACCCATTAGCATCGTACGTGTTCTACATATGAATGCAAAAGTTATTTGCTGTCGCAAAAAAATTGGGAGCAAACCTTTGCTGAAGTTGAAAATATGTTTGATTTTTGCAAATTCACAGCGTTAATTTGATCTGACCTCACAAATTTGCGTTTCTGTTCACTTTTATGCCATTTTTGTGAACTGGCCGTTACGCAGGACGTGGTTTTAAAACTCGTTGACAGTCAGTATAAACCTACGTTGTCCAATCACTCTGTGCGAAATGTTGGAAAGGGTTGACAGATTTCACGCAATGTGAACCCTTGGAAGCACACTTTTGTGAATCGCCCGTATTAAGTCTGATCCGTAAATTGTTCCTTTATATGTATTTAAGTCCAACAGTCTGACAGTACCTTTTGTGGCCTTAATACAAAGTATGCACATAAAGTTTTTTTAAAGTGCTACATGTACTTGTACATGTACTACATGTCAGTAAACTTGAGTATAAATGCCCCTTGGACAAAAATGCTCACTGATTTACATGTACATTCTGCTATTGATAAAAATTGAAATTGAACATATTTTTAATAAGTACTAGTACCGGGTACATGTATTTGTATAGGTACCGGTACCATGCACACATACATGTACATGTACATAAACCTTTAAAGAAGGAATGAAATGTATTGCAGAGTCAGGAGTGCTGTTAAAAATGTGGAGAATAAAGTTTTGAAAATGACCATCAAAGGTTTAGCTGTGATTTACCTACAATATTAACGGTACCACTAAATTGATTTCAAAGAGAGATTTTTTCTTGATACCGGTACAAGTGTAGATTTAAAGAATGGTTAGGAACATGATGAAAAATGAATATAATTTCAGTGGTTAATATTCACTTAATAGTGTATTTTGAGTGGACATCCATTTACATGTACACATGTTCCTCGAGACCCTGGTAAAAATGTCCCAAATGCCAAAGTTCCTCTAAAAGGGGGTCCCCTTTCCGATACAATGACTATTACATCATATTTTCACTCAATAAAGGATTGCTCAGAACCACATACCGGTACATGTACATGTATTTATTTCCTGGTGTGTCCATTTAAAGATAAACTTAAAAATCTTGCATTTTCGCCGTAGTTGACCCAACAGGTACATGTGTATATACCTGGTAGCAGTCTGTCTTTTTTTTTTACTTTCAAGTGTTTTTCAAGGTACATGTATGTCATCCATTGTCACTACATTTGCATGTTAAACCCTCAACTTAAATTCTTCTGAAAGGGAGCTTTTATTCTCTCAAAGTGGACTGTATAGAAAAATAAAACCAAATAATGGATACATACATGTACATGTACTAGTAACTGGCACATTGAATGGAGTACATGTGCATGTACGTGAGCAAGTTTCACCATTCACTATGAAAATCTGAAAAAGATGTACGCTGCAATAACAATGGACGCTCATTGTTAGTGCAATGAGTTTCTTTTGTTAGATGTGCGTAGTGTTTGCAAACAGGTACCGTAGTACTGGTACCCAAGGCTTGCTTTACTTTGGCCAAAGTGATATGATGTGCAAAGATGAGGGTACATGTACATCTATACTTCAACTGGCGTTATAACGTTAGTTATTCCGGGTCAGTGACAAACTGTCATTATCCCAGTGCTTACATCGTATGGCGAACAAACTTAAAAAGTACATGTAATCATGTATATTGCTTTGCAAAATTAACTATGGTACATGTACCTGTATATTACCGGTGTAATGGCTTACGATCTTTGAAGTCAGAAATACCAGCTGTAATTAGCATTTTAATCTATCACTTTTAGTCACATGTACATTTGTACATGTACCCATGCCATACGGTGCAGGTACATATTTACCAGAAATATTGAGAAGTCAAATTTGCAAACTCAACTTTTGTGTGTTGTACGCAAGTTGGACTTCTTGTCAAAACAACAAATTTGTACACCCTAGACCCTGCATCAGGTATATGTTCATGTATTATATACATGTACATGCAGGTACATGTACATGTACCAGTGTGCATGTACATGTACATGTATGTAATTGCTATGAGTAGTAACAATGCAGATATCATGCACATTACTGTACTGAGTACTGTTCTGTGAAATGAGTACGCACAACTGCACAAATGGTACTGCATGTGTACAGGTTATGTATGACAAATTGCATTCCTGCCATTGCCAATATTAGACAAGTCTTATTTTACCAGGTGCCAGAGAGTGAACTCTGACTTTTAAATTGTATAAAAGGACCGGCAGCCCGGCAAGACCGCTGCTCCCAGCGGAATTCATCAATACATTTTGTGGTGACGCAAACCCGCCTCCTCGGAAACATTATCGCTGGGGCACCAAGGGAGCTGGGGGGGAGGGAGTGGAGAGAGGAGGGGCTGAAATGAAAGATGGACAGAGGAGGTAACGAAGACCTACCGGTACAGAGATGAATTGAGGGTTGGTAAGGGAGTAAAGGAGGAAATTCTCCTGTTGCCAGGGTTTCTGTAAATGCATCAGTGCATGTACCAGTACACCAGGACATATACCAAGCATGCATGTAGATGTTCATCATTGACAGCGGGACTACAATATGTTCGCATTCTGGTAAATGATGGATGGTACCGTACCTGCACTAGATCTTGAGGAATTTAGAATCGACTTGTATGTAATGAAAGACAAATTGCAAACCAACTTACCACTGACAGTATCAGGGTAAGGCCTGCTTAATTTCTGATTTGGCAGCAAAGAAGCACAATTTTCACAATATACCCAGTATGAATCAAGTAATCATAGACCAAGAGCATTATACCAGTATACACATGTACATGCACACATCGAATTGTAGAAACTTAAAAATGGAGGAGTTTTGAGTGGAGAACAGAATTTTAGACAAGAAAATATTTTTTTTCAAAACCTGTACAACCTTAAACCTCAAGGTGCCATTACCGAACATAAAATTAGTTAAAAATTGATGTTTGGGGTGAAGGCAATTCCGTAAGATGTGTTTTATTTTTTCTTATTGTTTGCAATTGATTCAAAAACTGTTTTAATGAAATAACAAAGTCTGCACTCTGGCAAGCACTTGTAAACCGATACTTGCTTTCCTCTTCAGGTGTATTAAGTGTGCAGTCTGTATTTAAATGTTGGGTGTTGTGTGAGAGTGTCCCCCATTTCAGTTGTTAGTGTTCAGCTTCAAGTGTAAATTGCCTACTCCTGTGATTTGCTAGTGAAGCCGTGAAGTGTCCCTTCCCGTGTACAGGTACATGTACTTTGCATGTACTAGTACGGTATACATTTGCCCGGTAGTTTTCCTCAGGTGTTACAAAAAACTTGTCATCTCTCTGACACTAACTGTGCTACTTACTGCTAGGGAAGATTTCTGCAGGGATAATTAAATGATGTAGGAGAATTAATGAGAATTCCAGAGGTTAGGTCATCAGCAACTGTCTTTGAGTGAAGCAACCTGGGACAGCCAGTTATAACCAGGCCCAGCTTGGAAGCATGCAGGGACTCCTGTGACGTCAACATTTGTGGAATGGATCATGAAATAGTCAACGGCGGCTTAACCTCCAAGGACTCATTTGAGTTCTGCATTTAATTTCAGGACTTTATTTTATCATTTGTTAAGAGCAATCTGTATTTAATTCATTCAACCAAATTTCCTGTAGAATCATAGCTCCTGTGATCTAAATGTACATGGAGGTAAAATTTGATGAAGAAAAGTACAAGCCATCCAACACCCTTACAAATTGTTTCATGTCACAAAGAAAGGATTTGTACTAGTACATGTACATTGCACTGATCTAAAAGAAATAAGAAAAAAAATCACAATTAATTAATACATATTGCCTTCAAAATGACATTAATTATGATCATAGAGTGTGACGGATGAACAGAAGCTTCATGAATGACTGAATACCAGCAATTAAATATGTACATGTATGTTGCATCCTAATAGCATACAGTACAGTACATATACATGTACATGTACGTCCAATACTATCCTGCATGTGTCCTGTGGGTAACCTTGATTGAATTAAATTCCCCCCCCACCACACCTCCTTTTCTTTACTTGGGTAATCATGGCCCCCTTAAATTTGGCAAGTGCTTTTAAAGGCTGCCCTCTCTCCCAATATAAAAATCATTCCTCTGCTCTTTGGCACATCACATCTAAGCCCTTTGACGTACATGTACATGTACCAAACAGCAGCGGAATTGATCATTAACAATGTGAGGGGGGGCACCAGCTTTGAGATCAACCCATGGTCAACCTCCCTCAAAACTGCCTGTACTAATTAGGCAGTGAATCGTGAGCAAGCCTTTAATGAGACCATACCAAAAGATTACTACAGCATGTGTACGGTACATGTACATGTACATGTGCATACATACATGTACAGTACATGTAGATCGGCGAGGTACGTGACACATACATGTGCAGTGTATAAATTTGAAGTCTTTGCAGCTTGACTGAAGATTTTACCGTGATTCGTTTTCATTTTGAAGTTCAACTGCAGGTAAAACGTACATGTACAGTACATTGTAAGTACATGTACATGTATGTAATGTTTATCAATAAAAGGTTACCGGTACATATTTACATACATATATACCGGTACTTTTTACAATGTATGGCCTTTAGGCTTTAGTTGCTGCTCTGAGACCGATACATTATATGCTTTTCATTGCTCACTCATAGGAACACATACACATAAAGTGTATGTAGAACCATTGGGGACCGGTACACTTACAATGTAGTACATGTATAGTGTACATCTACATGTACATGGTGATATTTGACTAAATGTACTGACATATTTACATATTGTTTGTAAACTTGTAACAGCATGTTTAATTTATAGTGCTGTACAGTACATGTACATGTTTCCCCACACTTAACATGCTTACTCGTGCAAGCACAAAGTCCAGTGTCCAATTTGACTTTGATGTACAGTGCATGTACACTGTACTAGTACAGGTGTGTGACTCCTTACTCAGTAGCTAGTGACTTGGAAAGTGTCCAATTCCATGAAACTGGGCCAAAAAATGGCTGCTTTATGTGGTGGGAAAGTTGACACCATTGCAAATACTATATACATTTGGAAAAAGTTGTTGCATTATGTACCGGTAGAATCAAAGGGCTCACAGTACGTTGCATTTGAAAGTATTACTGAATTGCTGCAGGAAATTTTGTGAAAATAATTCACTTTCACATTCACACACATATCTCTTAAGATATGAAAATAATTTCCCACTTGCATGAATAAATTGGAAATGTGTTTCCACATGTGGAAAAATCTGTGAAAACTGTCTTTTTACATTGGGAAAATCTGTGGAAAACTTTTCCCACTTCAGGCACATTTGTGAAAATCCACATGTACATGTGGCAATTTTTTCGAACCCCCCACTTTTAGGAAAATGTGTAAACAGCTTTTCCCTCTTCTGTCAAAATCAGCCAAACTTTTACCTACTTCAGGACAAGTGTTTCACAGTTTGTGGAATGAAAATGAATTCCCCGGGAAGAGAAAAAGTGCCATTCCCAGGTTAACTTCCAATTACATGTATGTACAGTACATAATTACATGTACATTGTACATGTACAATGTACATAAATGTACATGTACATGTAAGTTGTGGTTTGTTGAATTTGACAGTTGGAAATTATGTTGCAGATTTAATCTCTGCATGATCATAGCTTTGACCCAGTTGGGGTAGTGTACCCTACCTGGAGCACCCCTTCCTGTCTAAATATGTGATGTCACCCCAGGGTCACCCCAGGCACATTGGGGACATGTACATTTGTACAGTAATTAAAGGTGCTGTTTGTGCAGAGTTTCACATGTTACAGGTACTCACAACGTCCATCTTACTTTGTACAAAAAGAAATCAGTCTCACTACCAGTTGGATGCCATTGCAAAGTCCATGTGATTACACCTTCAAATTTCAAGTTGATTTGATGCTTTCCTTCTTATTATGGATCCAACATTTTCAGAAAAGGGAACATGTGGAAGTTAAGAAATGGGGGGAACCCCAGTAGGAGGTGTGCAGGAATAAAAGTGGGGCACATTTTTTGTGCCAGAATCAAAGTGGGGCACATTTTTATGGAGATATCTGTTTTATTAAATATAACCAGTCAAGGCAAATGAATAAGTACTCGTTGGTGAAAAGGGAAATATGTAATTTCAAAATAAATAAATATGGGAGGATGGGGGCATGCTGAGATTGACCCCCTCTGGATCTGTTACTGCTGCCATTCTGCATGTGTACTGTTAGGTTAAATAATGGCTGAGTTCGGGCAGTGTGTTCTGAGCTGTTACATTACATGTACATACAGTGTAGTTTATACCGGTAGTTTATTCGCCACTCATATAAAATATTATACATGGTGAAAATTAAGTGGTCCTTGCTCTGCTAAAAAAAAAAAACCATTGATACACCATTAAAAATACATACATGTATGTAGCAAAATAGATTAAGAATATACATTAAACATTAAAACACCACAATACACGTAACTACAGTTATGAGTTGTTTAGCTCCTGCACAGTACTAGGATAAAACCACCGATCGCTTTTTTCGTTTTGGCAGCTACAACTCTGTACCGTCTTCCAGAGGGGAGCAATTGGAACAAAGCATTGCCCGGGTGCGACTTGTCCATTGTTCTCGTACATGTATGTTCATGAACAGCTCAATTTGTTGTTCGTGGATCAGCTGCTCGAATGCTAGGAACACACAGTAGGTTATCACTGGTAGTCCATGTACATTTCAATGGTTAATGCTTGGATTTCTAGGCAGCATTTTTTACTCTTTAAAAGGGAACATTCGTTTCAGTGTTATGATGTGTGCAAATTTTACAAAACATTTCCATCGCCTCCTGCTTTGCTGACCATCTCGCAACTTTCGCGGCTCTTCAAAAACTAAATCCCTTGCACGTCGAGATTTGTTCTTGCAAAACCCTGACGAGGAGTACATGTAGGTGTGCAGTCCTGTTCTGAGAACAGTGTTCTTGAGTCGTGTCCCTGCCGTTTGAGCATGAGAACAAGAAACTCATGTTAATAACAGGCCGCCTGAACTCGGCCAATGAGTGTTAGCATTCTTTATTATACACATAGCGTATGTATTCTTGCAGCTGTGTTCCAATGCATTCTGAGGCCGGAACCCAAGGGGTGGTCATGCAGTCAAGCTAATTTTAACGTGTGAGAACTTCTATTGATCAAATGCAGGTGATATTTGGATGTGCTGTTTCTACATGTATGCCTTGTTTCTTTATTTGAAATATTTGTTAATGGATGACTACGCTGCATCCTTGAATATAATCACTCTGAGCATACGAGTACCTGTACTTCTATGTACCCGGTACCAAGTTTATTCAGCTTCCAATTTACTGCAGTTGGCTGACAGTGGAGATTTTTTGCATCCTTTCAATTTCAGAGGTGTAGTGAACCCCCCAAAAAAGAAAAAATCCATGAGAAAGAAGCAAACCAACTTCCTGGATTTCCCCTGTTTTTATTTCACTTGGGTTTTCTGCATCCCTTCCATGGTGTTAATTTTTAAAAAAGTCCCAAGACATTGCTCATGTTCAATTTTAATCTTTTTCAAATTGTATTTGCACCATAACTCCTCACATTTTTCACTTTTTGTTTTGTGTTTGTGCATGCCCGACAGATCCGTGTAGAGTCCAGTAGCTGGACATGTTTGAGAGTATTGTGCATCGATCCAGTTCACTAACCAGCCCATGAAAGGATTATCTGGTTCTAAAACTGTTGGGTGACGACATTCGTCTGCCAAACAGTCAAACTGAATGGCATGACACATGATGTGCAGTTCCTTTCTCCAAGACCAATCATAACCATGCATGCGACTGCGTAGGCCCCTGACTAACTTGCCATGCTTTTCACGGTGTGCTACGCCTACTTGACCTTCTCCACGGCTTGGCGTGACTACAGACAGAAGGCAAAGGTGATGAACGCCCTGCGTTGCCATGGCGCCCGGGCCAGCATCGCCTTTCGGAAGATCCTCCAGGAGGGCACGATCAGTGAAGGAGACAAGATGAGGGCTTCATTTCTTTGCGAGACGGGTGAGCAACCAATCATCTCACAGCTTCTCGGCGAGAAAAGAGGGAAACAGATGCTTGTGGTACATCCCAAGGTTAGTATTAATTCTTAGCAAAGAGCCCTACCCCAAAACTAATAATTAGAAATCTAGACCCTAAAATCCCATCAACGTTCCAAATCCATCAAAATGCATACATTGATTTAAAACTTACAGGATTTACTGCAGGAAGGGTTTGTCTGAAGGTCTCAGACAGCCAAGTCAATTTTCACACTACACAATAGTGGCCCAAAAAAGTGCTAGTACAGTAATCAATGCACAGTGTGGATTTAGGAGTTTTCAGTCTTCATGTACTCCATTGCATTTTAGTTTCTAATTGGGTATCATAATACTGGGATGCAACAGAATGTATGACTTTGGAACTGTTGGGGGTACATGTACATGTAGATGGCAAGAAGCCAAAGAGCACTGTACATGTACGTGGCCATGACTGTTGTTTTATAAAGAGCATACATGTATATGTACATGTTTTTTAACTTACATGTAAGGCCCCTACTGTGTAAAAAAGCTTGAGAACACTAGCTGTAGTGGACACGTGCAATCTACTAGGCAGTGGTATTCATGTTAGCCAATGCTACATACAGCATGTATATTTTCACTTAAAAATAAACAGAAAGGGGGTAAAAAAACTAAGAGACAAAGCAAGAGAAACCAAAACAGATCGAAAGGGAATAAAAATTACCAATTTTCTTGAAAATGCTCACAAACTTGGCCCCTTCCACCATTAATTGTTTGTCAGTTTGCTGCTGATAAATGTGACCTGTCACAACAAATTGAGCATAAAGTCGCATTCTTAGAGTCAAATATATTGAATTGGAGGGCAATTTTTGATTTTTGTAGTATCTGGAAAGAGTAATTTATCTCCTATTTAATTCCAATTTGTTTGCAGGACCATATACATGTATGTATTTAAAAGTTTCATTTTTTTCAGCAATTTTGATGATAGCATAATTCATACTGTACATGGCCAGAAATGTTGAAACAATGTCGGAAACAAAGACAGAAAGTTACTGTACAAGAATAGTGCACATTCTCACCTTATACTATCCCAAGTGTTTCACGTACACACATGTACTTGTACATGTACATAACGGTACCATTGGAAAGCTCGTTTTCTGCTGAATTCAAATATGCCAATATCTCAGTTTTTGAATATTCTGACTTTCATCTCAAGTCACAAATTTACTTTGCCACACCCCTCCCCCATTAGCTTCTGCCACCTTTCTCCTAGGGACCAAATCCTGGAAATGCCCATTTTCCTGCCGAAAATAATTTTCTTATATGAGAAAACCATTCTTGAAAACAAAAAAATTATTCTTGTCCAAAGGAAAGGCCGTTTTGGTAAGAAATATATTTCTTAAAATGTTTAACAATTAATACTTCAAGAAAGGTGTTCTTCTTTTCAGGAAATCACTTGGTTTTATGAGAATTGTTGGAAAAAGGAATAACATCTTGTTTTAAGAAAACTAATTTTTAATTTTTTTGAAATTAATACCACAAATACGTGCTTCGCCTTAAGAAACACCTGCACTTTTTTGCAATACATATATCTTTTCTTTAAATAATGAGATGAGCAAGCAATTGTTGGAAAAAGGAATAACATCTTGTTTTAAGAAAACTAATTTTTTTGAAATTAATACCACAAATACATGCTTCGCCTTAAGAAACACCTGCACTTTTTTGCAATACATATATTTTTTCTTTAAATAAGAAAAAATTCTTGCTCCAAAAAATGTTAGAAAAAATTTTTGTCCGTAATGCATTATAAGTTATATAGGACGCTGTTTGGTGGTCTTGTTCAGTTGTCATGCACAAACGTTTTCTCATTGTATTTTGTCATTTATATTCTGCCACAGGTATGTTCAAACGTTATTTTCACTACCATCCTTGAATTTGGTTGCCATAGATTTAGGATGACTATGTTTTTAAACCTAATTTTTTCAGATGTTTAAGGATTGGAAAGATTAAAGATTAGATCAAGGTCTGCTCAGTGTTAACAGTTGCAGCTACATGTACATGGATTGAACTCTATGCAAGCTTCACTAGGCATGACTGAGAGAATACTTTCTGTCCTTGTTAACAGCTGCATACTAAATACGAAATCTGATGCAAACCTCAGAGACCTTAAATTGTCATCAATGGAAGAGAAGTAAAGTGTAGTGCTCAAATGTAGGTTTTGAAATTCATTTTTCTTTATTTAAGAAAAGGGTAGAAAAAAATTCTTCTTAAATCAAGAAGATTAGCGGTATGAAAAAGAGACACACAAGTTTCTTAAAACAAGAAGTGATCAAACCATTTTTCTAAAGTCACTCCCTAGAAAAAAAGACCTGTTTGAGGGGTTTTTGTTTCTCCCAATAAGTTAACCACTTATACACCCACCCATACTGTTATATTCATTCAGTTTTTATATTGCAGTGCTTTTTGTGCCCGTAAATGATTTCGTTTGTGTCATAAAGTACCCACATGCATATTAGTTGTGCTGACAAGACAGTTCTCTGTTGATTCCCATTGGACAAACTTGTTGACCTCACAGACACAATTACTGGAAGACTGTTCCAATATGTGTGCATGGGGGGTGGGACCAGGGTTTACTACCAGACCAGTGCTGATCACACCATAGAGCTACAAACCCATCACACAATGCACAACAAGTGTCTGCATTATTATTAGAGGTCACATGGCCTTGATCCACTCTCTGGACTTTGCATGCTGACTGGGGCCCATTACTTTCTGGTGCTCTTAGGTGGTTTGGTGGATTGTGGTTTGATTTCTTGACCAGGTTTGTATGTGCCTGTACTACTACGTATGTCCCCACTGGAACTTTCATTTTTATGATGTACTGTACATCACTTTTGTGCCAACACAAATGCTTAAGTTTTAAGTACATGTACCACCGCATGTGTGCATCCGCCATGTACATGTACAGCTAGACATGGGTCAGGCCTCACATTTCCTGGCCTTGTGCTAAATGCCACATGTTACATACGTTATCAGTACTGCCTGTACTACAATCTACATGCACATGTACATATGTATACCAGTACATGTACCGGTACATATGCACATGTACATGGCTTAATTGTACATATTGCCCTGGTATCATCTACTGCTGGATCTACCCCCAGAACTGTATGTAGGGTCGGACATCCACCCCACTCTGTTCATTCCTGGGAGCTGGGAGTGGGGCTGACATCAGACCCCACAGTTCTGTGGGTATACTGGATTTATCTCCATAATTGGATTAACTCTGCTGCTATTACAGTCATGACAGTACATGTACTTACTGGTATGTAGGCCTACATGTATGTATGGTAAGCTCCTTTGTCTGTGAGCTGGACTCAGTTCAGTTTAGATTAGTGCTAAATCTCCACTGACCTTGCTACAGACTTGCAGAATAAACAGTACTAATGTACATGGACCATATGCATGCAGTGCTGCCATTTCTGCACTTTGTGAAATACATGTAGGCCTATATGTAAACTGGTACGTACATGTACTTGTAATTGGTTTGGATGTGCTGTTGATGTGCTACATGTACATGTACAGGCAGTAAGACCCTCCAAAACCGTGTACTCGTAGGCATTCAATATTTTGTGCACGTACAATGTACATGTATGTATGGTTGAGGACAAAAGAGATTTAATGGTTTCACCATCTATGACAATTGCATGTGCATACTAGTAACCCCTTTCCGAACAAAAATCTCCCTAAACATCCTGCCCCTCTAGCCAAGAATCCTGAAACTGCCTCTTTGTGAACCACAGTACGCAGTATTCCACAAGCCTATCCCAAACTTTACTGTTTCTCCCAGCTTCTGTAGTTACCACTACAGTACACGTTCTCACATAGCTCTTGTCACTTTGGATTAGCTGTGGCATGAGATCCTTTAATATGAGGGAGGAAGCTTGTTAGCCCTGCCGGAAGATGAAATGTAAGAAGCTGTCCATGTGTATCTCGTTTGGGAATGACTAATGACCCATGAGTGCACCTGATGCACTGGCCTTCTGAACTACAAATCAATAAATTGCTATGAAATATTACACCAGTTTAAACAGGAACCCTGGACCTCCTCATGGATAAATGTCAGGTAGCTGTGCTTACCTAGCGAGGTAAAAATAGCCTCGGTGCGTGTGGCTGTGTTGGCGGTCAGTAGAATGTCCGAGCATGCACTGTTGATGTTGAGAAATGTAAACATATCAGAAGTATGCTGTAGGGGGTACCGGTACATGCACATGTACCAGTATATTTCAAAATTGATTTGTTTGGTTGTGTTAAACTTTTGTTTAAAAGATTCTCACATATACTGGTATGTACATGTAAATAGTCATTTGCCACAAGTGCATTTATTTGATCATGTTATTGTAGAACTAAAACTTTGAACAAAGAGAAATTAATTGATACAGTTTTTGTAACTTTTAAACTTAACATGAGACGTTTCTTAAAATTAGTTTGTCAACACCATGTCTGGAGACAGTGCCTGTGTGCTGCATCGAAAGCCTTGGGGGAAAGACTTTTGATGAAATTGGAAATCTGGTTTTTAAAATTCATTCCTTTTCTTCACCAACAGCAACAAGTTGATCTGTCTAAAGACTGGACATCTTTCATTGGAACAACCACCACGAGTGCATCACCCTACAGGGATCCAGACCCAGCATCTTCCTCGAGCCTGGACTCCGTCTTTGTCCTCTTGGAGGCCTTCCCACCGAAGAAGGACCGCCAGGGTCGTCTGAACCTACGGAAGGTCGCGCGGGAGCGAGTGGTGAAGCTGTCAGGACTGACCACCCCATTGGCCTGGAAGTCTGGCGAGCCATTCGGCATCCTGGTGCAGGCGTCTGCCAACAACTTTGGACTGGTGGGCTCTGCCTATCTGGAAGGAGTGCTGGAGCTCGATGATGGGCTGCTGGTGGAGCAGATAGTCTGTGAGTAAAATCTTAACTGAGACAGAAAACAGAATGCACATGTATGGCTAAGGGCTTTGAGTATTTTGAGAGAAAACATATCAATATTTTACATGTTCTCAATCCCTTTTTTGTTAGCAGTCACAAGGAGGACCTTTTAACCTGTTCATTTTGTTTCTTGCAGGTCATGCGTTTAAATGACAAGTTTTACAGTAACCAACCCATCCATACATGTATATTACAGTAATATACATGTATGGCTAATCAGGTTTTCTGATAGCATCTCGCCAGTTTCACATGCAGGCTAGAGTATTTCAGGTGAACTTTCCTGACTGATGGGCATGTACAAATAAAAACTCTGGGTTTACTTGGGTTCCTGTACTCTGTACAGACATGTCGTTTACTTCCCTGCTTTTGCCCAGTTTTGAATGATGCAACAGCGTATGTCTTTGCTTTTCAATCTTTGAAAAAAGGCTAAGATTACACAAGAAAAGTTTTTTTTTTTTTGTACATGTACAGGGTGTCCCAGAAAAGACCAAACCCTGAGGAAAGGGGTTAAAATGGGGCATCCAAACTCAGTCGTAACACTTCGGATAAACCAGTGAATGAGGTTGTCCTTTGTCATGCTTGTCCTGGAGATCCTTATACATTATAATCATATCTCATGGTTTGGGCATATTAACCCCTCTCCTCAGGGTTTGGTTTTTTCTCGGATACGGTTTATTTACTCTTAAGTACATGTACATGACTACATTCTTGTCCTGTTTGTATATGCTTGATGCAACCTTGCCCCTGTGCTGTTTCCTATGAAAACTCAATATTTCTCTAGCTCAAAGACAATTCCTACGCCGAGTCTAATCTTGAGATCCTTTTTCTTTATCCTTTCCAAGGTGTTGATACAATTGGTGAGCCCTTCAGCCTCATCAATCAAGACCCCAAAACCCCCTCTCCATCCCCCTTCCCATCCGCCTCTCCTTTCCACCGTTCCCCTTCTGGAAACAGCCTCTTCCAAAGGTCGGGTTCCTCCCAAAAGGACGTGAAACCTCTTCGCAGGAAACACTCTCAGGAATTCATCAAGAAACTTGAGGAGCAGCAGCGAAGACTGTCCCGTAAGTCCTCGTCGGAGTCTAGCGATCTCGGAAGCATTTCGGTCGAGATGGCAAGCCCAGGACTTGACGATGAAGTACTGGTGGACATCAAAGGGCATCCAAAATTTCACCTGGGAGAAGTGGAAGATGTCTCCTCTGGGGATGTTGGTAATGGCTCCCAGAAGCCTCCCAATGTTCTTGTGTATACGGGAAATGACGACGTGGACGACTCCAGGTACAAGATTGCCATGACTTTTCTTGAGAAATTCCTTCACAGAGATCGCTACGTTATCTACCATTTGAAACCAGAACAAGCTTTGGCCCATCCGTGGGCTGACAACTGCATGCTGCTTCTCCTGTTGATGGGCACTGAACCGATTCCCGATAACACGCTGAAGAAGTTCACCGATTATGTCAAGTCTGGCGGGTTCCTCTTCTTGCTCAAGGGGCAAAGCACCACTCCCCCAAAAAACCCGAGTGTGTGCACCATTGAGTACTCTAAAGCTCTCGGGGATGAGGTGCTGTCCTTTCGAGCAATGTGCTTAGAGGATCCCCCCACAATGGATTTGTTTCCCAACGGACAGGTGAAGGTTCTTGCAGAGAGCCAGGGAAATGCTGTTGTTGCCGAAACGTCCTTTGAAGGGAGCACAGGAAAAATCCTATCTTCCCTAGTAAGTCAAGGAAGTCTAATCACCTTCAGTGACATGACTGAATGTGCTCAGTGTGGTAATGGCTTTGATGGCACCATTCATACATGTACATCCAATTCTGAGCATGGCCAGAATGCTTACTGGGATGTTGCATCATGGATGAATCTGTACAGTTGTACACATGGACATGTCTCTGCAGCATAGTTACCACTTTAGAAATTACCCTAAACAGTTTGTTTGCCACAGGGTACCGATGTAGTGCCAACAGTTGTTTGTAGAAACAAACTGTATATGTACGTACATTTACGGTTCATGTACATGTAGATGGTTCATACGAGCACATGAGTTATTTTCAAATGCAAAACTTTTTTGTGAAATTAAGGTTAAATTGTGTGTTGCATAATGTACATGTACACGTATACATGTACATGTAGCAGTATCGGGATGGCTGCATTGTCTGAAACAGTGAACTGTAGTTGTTTCTTTCTTCGTTTGTTTCTTACCTCGCCCACAAACTAAAAACACAAATTCCAGTATGTAGTAGATCTACATGTATGGTTGAGATGCTCTCCCTATTTTCCAAGGGAAAACTTATTTTTGAATGCTCATTTCCATTTTCAACATGCTCAGGAAATCAGTTGTGGGTTAATTATTAACCCACTCTCTTCCTGTACATGTACAACTTTGCAGGGCAGGAACTTTACGGAGGCATCTGATGAGGCACTTGCCTTGATGTCCCTGGTCTGTGCCTCGATGCTCATTTAAACGCCCCCATAGACAAATTGATTTTCTAATACAAGTGCCCTTTGCAAATGAGAAATTGCCTTGCCCTTTCAACATGTTCAAGAATGGAGTTCCCACCCTGACTTTGCACAAGCACTGTACAGGTAGTGCTGATAAAATTTCAGTCATCACGATCACATCTCTATCCATGAAACATCTCCATTTGAGATTCCCATAACCACATAATGAAAAGCTGTTAACAGCTGTGTGCCTGCAGTTGGCCCCCAATTTATCAGATTACTGAAATGAATTGGGCGAGTGATGCTTGCCTGGGTGTCTAGCAGTTGATCATCGTCAGCGCACACTGTGAACGGCTTGGATGTGATCACTCTACAAAAATAGAAAGGCAGCTCTCCTGGATGTGATTTTAGTAGCAATTATCCGGTATCACATCCACACCACCAATTGCATATCCGAGCCAGAAATTAAAATCAGGATTGTCATTAATGTCCAATATCACATCCACTGTTTCGCCGTATCATACAGTACATGTGCATGTAATTCTGGTCATTATGTCTGGCTCAGATGTGATTTAGATGATACCTGCAAAACTCACAATCATGTACATGTATCTGCAATCAGGCCCTCCAAAATCATCTTTTCATTTTTAACACAACCACTTCGCTGCATGCTCACGGCGGGCTAGTACACGTACATGTCATGATGAAAATGTACGTACATGCACATGATCAAAGCAATTCTGAACACTGTGTTTGTCTTTTTATTGTTTTTGATCATCAATTCAGGTGAAAAGTGCCTTACACTGGAAACATTTCAACTTGACAAACAATGTCCTTTTAAAAGCATAAAACTCTTTGAAGCAATGAACATTTATCACATACATGTAATGTACCAATAAATGCTCTGTACCCTCGCATTTTTATTCTGTATATCTCTGGCAACAGGTCCAGTTTCAACTCCTCTCCCCGGAGAATCTGGTTCCAGACACAGAGGCTTTCACAGAACTGAAGCAGTCAAATGAGGCCCGGCATCAGGTGATCTTTGACCTCTTAGGTCGTTTTGGGTTGAAGTGCGCGACCTCAGAGCTGCCAGAACTGACCGTTGGCTACTTACTGGGAGTTAACGAGGTACATGTAACATTGAAATGTACTATGAGTATGTTTTGCTCAGTCACATTTATTGAGTATGCATACGTGTACCTCTTTATCATTTGGCTAATTGAAACTTGGAAGGGGGTTGGAGGAGAATTTGTGATGCCTTGTACATTTTTCTCAGTTGTCTTATACTTTGAAATTATTTCTCTGATGAGTGAGCTGGGGAGTAATGTCTTGCCCATGTTTTGGCTCAAATTTTGCTAAACTTTCGAGTTTCATAAAAAGTCACATTTCCTATACTTGGAGCTTTAGGATCTTACAGTTTCCAAAAATTTCCAATGACGTGCAAGAACTGCTGATGAATGAATGACAGGCTGATGTTTTAAAGCTAGTATCAAGTTTGCCTGCATGTATGTTTATTAAGATCTGGGTACATCTCTATCACTACTCTGGCATGAGTTGGTGGACAAATCCTTTCAAAAGTCACATTCACAGACTTGGTACAGGTACATGTCTTTACCTTGTTCATGTACTGTACTTACCGGTGTATATAGATTCTGGAACAGGATGCTTGGGGTCATACAGTACAAATACTTGCATGTATGCAGATATGGGGATAACGTACATGTACAGTGTATGTGCAAAGAATAAAAGAGTGGTACATTTTACTGTCACACTTGTCAGCAAACTTGATTATTTTCAACAGGTTGAAGTGCAAAGTGTCAAAGACGTTTTCTGGTACATGTACTTGGACTTAGACAAAAAGGTCTGACAGGTGACCGTCAGAAGATTGTTAGTACATGTACATTACTGTCAGACAACATGTCTCATGAGATATTGAAGAGAAAATAAATGTACATGTACCATGCATGTACATGTATATGGCCTCTTAATGGTTTCTTACTACAGTCGGATTTAATCACGTACAGCAGATTCAGCTTGATCAGCCTCAAATGAGAAATTAATGTCAGGTTACGTGCGGTATGTCAAACTTACAATGTACATGTACGGTATGTCCCACAGTACATGTGTCGTCTTCATTTGAGACCAGAAGTAAGATGGATCACAATTCCTGCCAGCAAGCGACCCCTGGCTGAACCGAGCTTCTGATTCAGAGCAGAGATCACCCAGATTTTGGAAATTCGAGCCTATCTTGAACAGAATGTTTGGGAGAGTATTTTTTTCCCTGTCATGATCTGGATCAATTAACTTGCAGAACTCGCAGGCCTCAGATGTTAACACTCATCAATCTTCGAAGACGGAAAAAATGGAAATATATTTATAACACATACCTGACATGCTTCAAATAATTTTGCATTAATTTAGACGTGGAGTATGATACATCATGCTCGGCGCATGTTTGAGGTGTGCCAATGTATGTAATGTGACAAGGAGGCAAGTTTTAATATTTCTGACACTTTGCAACACTGGCATTTTTGTTCATGATTAATTAGGGCCGTGTCATCGGGTGTCATTGTTTATCAGAAAGCGAGAACTAGTCGGAATGTGTGAGCTGTGCGGTATGGGCATGTGTTCTGTTTCTCCACATGTACACGTGACATGTGTGAAGTGCACTAGAATCAGGCTTGCCTGCCAACACGTCCGGCCTGGAATTACACAAATCTGTGAATCTAGTTGCCACTTCTCTAAGTCGATGTCACTCGTCGAAAGGCAATTCATTTTATGTCTTGTCTTGTGAGAGACAAGAACTTATTTACCTGTCAGCCCATACTTGTACATACATGTACATGTATATGTAGGTTGACGCAGGTTTCTCATTTCATTTAATCCAGTTGATGGGCATCTGTTTGTCACATGCTTTCGTTTGCATTGGCTCTAATCTTTGGGTTATAAAATTATGTGCACATGTATTGTACATGTGTGTGTGCTTTAAATACATAAAAGCTATGAGTAATATTACTCTGACAAAATAATTCTCGCTATACCACCGTGGTATTTCTTGTGTGGTGTCAGAATGATTACCGGTATGTGGTTTCCTGTATACACGTACATGTAAATGTAAACTGGTGTACAGTGTGCTACATGTACATGTACAATACATGTACAGTACATGTACCGGTACACTGTACATTGTTTGGATGACACTGAAATACATAGTTGGGACCCATACAACTCCACTCATAGACATGATACATGTACATGTACATTTAGATCATGTACACGTACACGTATACCTGTGCCTGTTAAACATGCAGACAAAAATACGTGAGCACATTCATATGCCATGTTCATTTCGCAACACAGTATTACTATCAAAGGTTTTCCAGTATTTAAAAGTTGTGTGTCCAAATTTTTGTAGCTGCCCTTTCATCAGGGCCATTTTGCAAGTTTCTTTACTTGCATGTTAGTACCTGTATGAGTTACAACATCTTGTACATGTGTGAAGCCTCTTTTTTGCTATAACTTCATGAAGTGCTTGACATTGTGTGGTAGAATGACATCCTTGTGGCCCAAACCCTTGCATGCCATGTGCATGTGCAGTATGTGTATGTAACTCAGGTGATCATATTTAGTCAAAAAAAAGAGAGGAAACTTAAAGGAACGCACTCATCTTCTTTTTTTTTTCAGAAGGAGTTGTGAAATGAATGACCAGTTTATGCACACTGTGATCCATTATCTTTTCAATGTGCTTATTTGTCTTTTCAGTGTTGAATTTTGGAAATGGAAATTTGACTCTTGATGACAATGCTTCAATTTTAGCACACACACACACTCTCTTCCAATACAGCGAGTAGGCCGTGCCTTCATGAGCGCCATCCAGCCAAGCCTCAATGATGGTCAGCTGGCCAGTCGCTTCCTAACCATGCAGTTCAGCAGTGACCCCCGTGGGGTCGGCAAAGTGACACCTGACCTCCTGCCAGTCATCACCGGCCAAAGGTCACCGCAGGGTGGTTCGTTTGACTTCGAAGTTTACAAGGGTAATCTGTCAACTAAGAGCTTGGGAAATGTTGTGCTGTACACGGAGGTGGTGCCGACAACTATGACATTGTTTGAAAGGTAAATTAAACTTGTTGGTTTTCAAAGGCTCAGGCTCAGTTGTGCTTTCTGTTTAATTTCATTTATAATTCAGAGGCATTTTCCAAATGTTTTTTGGAGTTGACATACAGTTATAAACCCTTCATCTGTTTCTGGTTTAACCCTGAAAAAGCATGTTTTGGGAGGGATCTTCCTCCCAGAACTTTGTTGTTCCATGCCCGATTTTTTCAAAGTTGGCATGCATGTAAAAACATTCCTTTTCAGTACAAATGTGGAGTTTTAAATCAATCTGGCATATGTATGGTTTTGTTGTTAAGGTGTTTTGAAGTTGAAGGTCATGTGCACGTCAGCCCGCAGTGGCATTTTCACAGAGTCAGTGTCAAAATGCCCCCAGAGCGATACTGGAAAAAACAAAACCCCTAAGGGCTTGGCTTGTGAAAAAAAATACTCTCCAGTGATAAGAGGAAAAATGTTAGGCCCCCCCTGTTCTCTTTTCAGGGTAATGGAGTCCTGAAACAACATTCAAGCTCTTATTCATCTATGATGTTACGAATGATGAGGGAAGTTATAAAACATGGAGTGGAAAGAGCCTGGAATCATCATACATGTACCAATACATGTACATGTATGTGCATAACATGTACATGACTTCCATGCATGTACTATACATGTACACTGTACATAAGCAGTGTGTCGTCTCATGTTTTCAGATGCCTTGCTTCATCTTTCTTTTCCTCATTGTGCAGTTTCATGTTCAAGGTTCCAGAAGATGTTGGTGTTGTTACCATAGCAACCCGCATGACACAAGGCAAAGGTGAGAACAATTCTAAGTAAAACTGTATCACTGTAAATCCTCCTGCTGTTTTCTGTCCGTGTCGTTTCTTGCATCACGTTTGCTCCATTGTTTGTTTTTTTCCATCCCAGCCAAGGGTCATAGTGTGTATTCAGTGGTCGCAGTTGATTCTTAAATGCTGTCAGCAGCAACTGTGCAAGCACATGTACATGTAAAACCATAGTTATACAGTTTACATGTACTGTATAAAGTGTGCACATTTTAGTGCATTGTCTTAAGCTCTCTGCCACTAGATGGCGCAATTTGTGCTTGCTCCCTGTTGGCTCATGAACGATGATGTGTTCGACCAAATGTCGCATTTGTGCTTATTACTACATGTACTAATTTTGTCAATACATTGTCCATGTACTGGTACCTTTGGCAGCGTAATCTTCAGTTTTGTGATAATCATTGTCATATACATTGTCATTGCTCATGTCTCATTCTTCACCATGAAAAATATGATGGTCACTACCCCTACAACTGTCTTTCTGTATCAGTGTCAACGTGAGTTGGAATTGCAATTCTTTTTTTTGTAGGGCGAGGTGGTAACAAATGGCTTGGCCCCATTGGCTGCGCCATGTTCTCTTTGCATGTGCGTATTCCTTTCGGCTCGGAACTTGCCGACAAGCTGCCCTTCTTGCAGCACATTGCCTCAGCAGCTGTTGTGGAGGCTGTCAGATCCATTGAAGGCTATCAGGTAAGACAGCAGCTCAGACAAGTCATTCATTAAGCATGAAGAGTCTCCACAGTGTATGCAGTATTATGACGAGAGTGTCTTAATACACTCAAATGTACCGAAACCTTTTTCCAGTCGGTGTAACAAGGCAGCCTCATTACTGCATAAATCTTTGCTAAATTGAATACACCTGCCAAATTACGTTAACGTTTGTCCTAAGAAGATTCTTATTTCTTTATTGCATATGCAAGACTATAAAAAGGTCTGCATGCTCTTAGAAAGGTCTGCATGCATGTGAGTGCATTATGAACTCACATGTACCAATGCCATTTCAATTAACTGAACGTTGGTCATCAACGTTAACTTAATGGGATATGTTACATGCCAAGCAACCTTTGCTGTCCTTTTTATGAAGGATATTGACATGTCCAGCTGACTGGCAAAAATTAATACCACAAGAGCAAGCCTTTATGGAGACATCACATAATGTCAGTAAGGCATGGTTCCTTTAACATTGGCTCAGGAGCAGTCCCTGCCCAAATTTGCATGTGTGTGTGTACGAACATTTATGAATGGTTCCTCATGGGAACACAAATCTGCTATCAAACTGCGTACGTGCACCCTGTAGAAGAGCACAGCACAGGACTCTAGGGCGGAGTTCGGGCAGCTTGTTCTCGTATATTCACGAACAGCTTGAGTTGTCGTTCTTGGGTCGGCTGCTCGAACGCCGGGAACGTACAATTGGTCATCGCTCGTAGTTAGTGACAAGCAACATGGCAGCGTCCATGTCGTAGAAAACTATCCGAGAGTTAATGCTTGGACAACTGGGCTGATTTTTTTCTATTTAAACAGGAACATTCACTTCTGTGTTGTGAAAACTAATTAATGTTAATTTTGCAAAACTTCCTGTTGTCTCTGACTTTGTAAACCATCTCTCTATTTTTGCAGCTGTTCAAAAATCAAAATCTCACGAGTTTTTCTGTGTATTCCTGTAAAACCCTGATAAGGAGGTGGTGTGTGATCCTGTTCCGAGAACAGTGTTGTTGAGTCGTGTTCCCGCCGTTCAAGTGCGAGAACAAGAAACCGGGGCAAGAACACTGCGCCCGAACTCGATCACGATTGCAGTCTCACTCCAATCGGAATATTGTTTTAATGTAGAGCAGTGTGTACTTTTTATAGTTGAATTGGACACCTGAGGGGAAATTGAAACTCACCATGCGGTGTTTGACTTCGACTATTATACTCAGGATATGGATCTAAGGCTGAAGTGGCCCAACGACATCTATTACAGCGACAAGATGAAACTGGGCGGTGTCATCGTCAACTCAAGCTCTTTGGACAACGTGTTCCATGCAATTATTGGTAAGTCACTGTCACTATGATCACCTGAGAATATTAGGGAAGGAGGCACAGCCAGCCACCAATCAGAACTTTTGCTGCTCTGAACCGTTTAAGAAGTTAGTGGAGTACCGGATGATTTAAGCGTTTACAAGGACAGATTTTAACTATAGAAGTGTTTGATTACTTTATGCAGCAACAACACCATTGTTATTTCAGCAGATTTAATATAATAAGCGTATTGTTTAGGATGCTACGTAAGGAATTACTTGGTAGTCTGGTATTGGCATCTTTGTTATTTGGCGCTTCTTGTTCGGTACCGGTATTCCAGATTTCTTCTTTTTTCATCTTACAGGTTGCGGTTTCAACGTTGATAACAGTGACCCCACTATCTGCATCAACGACCTCGTCCGTCTCCACAACAAGCAGACCAACAGTGACCTGCCGTTGCTGACCGTAGAGCAGCTCATCGCCAGAGCCGTCAATCAGATCGAAAGCCTCATTGGTGGGTTCCAGAGAGAGGGGCCCAAGTTGTTCCTGGAGACGTACTATAGGAGATGGCTGCACAGGTATGGGATCAGAAATATATCGGGGGTACAAGAAAAGGTGCGAGTCTTGTACATTTAGGTTTTCATAAATAATTGAGAACTCAGTCTCAGTCAAAGTCAATTATGGTATCGTGTTTTGATAGCGCGACAGAATTTCATGCTGTTCTTTTTTATTTTATGCAGTTGTGTTTTGTCTTGATTAGTCATTTATAAATACCTCAGACAGTCTCCCTATTCAGCTACGTGCAACGTAAATGTGTATCAATATTTGATTATGCCCACTGAGAAGTGATAATGCCCACTGAGATTGATAATGCCTGTGGAGTAAATCACGTGCTGGTATCTGGATATGAGACAGTTTCTTCATTCCTATTGGTCAAGAGTCTTGCGCTTCATGGGCTCACCTGTGGCCCAGGCATTGTTCGCATCCATCTCCAGTGGCCAAGCACATTATGTATTCCCTTATTTACCCATGAACTAGTCATTTTGACCCCCACCCTCATATACTTTTATTTTCCTCCTTGCATCGAGGAAGGGCAGCACTGTGCTTTAGTCTTCAGAGTCCATCGTAATTCCTCACAAATAAATCACAAGTCCTCAAAAATTCATCACAAGTCCTCACAAGTCAATCGCAAGACCTCACAAGTTCCTCACAACTCTTTCACAGGTCCTCAGAAGTTATGAAGTCCGAAGTCTGGTCACAAGCCATTCTAACAAAATGTGCTAAAGGGCACTTTCTGTCTCATTGTCCATCAACTGTCACTAGCAACCGGACTCATGATGTTGCTCGTGTTGGGCTCAAATCCAGCTCCCTGTTAAGGGATCAGTCTTGCCCAAGATACATGTACAAGTATGCTTTATTGGCAAAATTGCTCATTCCAATTGGGAAACATCTACTTTTCCTTCAGAGAACAGTGCTTGTTCTTAAATTGGAGCAGTGGTCTATGTGTTCACTCTTCATGTAACTGGGGAACAGCTTGTTCCAAATGGGAACACAGTGAATTCCCACATGCCCTAAGCATGGGCAACAATCAAGACCTAGCTCCAGGCAACATACTGAGATGCAAGTGGGAGCGTTCCAATGAGAACAGGAATGTTCCAACTTTTGAAACACTCCCTGACTGATAACTGTTTCAATTGGAAATACATGTACATGTTTTTCTCACATTCGACAGTGGCTGTAAGGTGCGCCTGGAAAATGAGTCAGGGCCAGAGGTAACGGTAGAAGGACTGGACAAGTCTGGCTTCCTCTTGGTTAGAGACCAGGAGGGGGTGCTACACAGTGTTCAACCAGATGGCAACAGCTTTGACATGACCAAAAATCTGGTGCTGATGAAGGAGAGAACACAGTGAGCCCTCGCTTGGTCAGATGCACGCAACTTGAGACCAAGACCCACATTCATTTGAAAGTGACATTAAGGAGGATAAAGATGTATAAATATTAGACAGTGCTACCACCGTAGAAGGGTTACATTTAACTGTATTTGCACAATTTTACTCCTTTTTGAACATTTTTTTGGGTTTAATTTTTCTACAGTTACTAGTTCTGGTCAGAATAAAGTCAGGTTTTCAAAAACTATTGTTTTTAATTTTGCTAATGTTATCAGTTTCATCATCATGTATAAAAGTCTTCAAAGAAAGATTATGTTGTATTATTGTATCATCAAATTCTTAATGGAAATCACCATGATGGTTCTTAATAGACCACCCACATGCATAGGTGTTGATACCCTACATGTACATTGGTTGGATTTAGGTAGAGGCTGAAAAAGTTTCATGAATCGCATCAGAGCCTTGTGTTCTCGGGACTGAAGATCAATTGTTGGATTGAAGTCCATCACAGGCAGGTCTCATCTAGAGTCAAATCACAGTTGATATCACAAGGCCGGTGAAACAGTTGATGGAATGAACAATCTCATGGTCATCATTAACCTGGTAGTGGCTTGACACAAGACGCCTGGCCTATTGAGAACTGAAATACAACAATGCTGTAACTTCCACACCTATAGTTTCTTTTCAATTGAGGGCTCTTTGGTTGCCTTTTTTTTTTTAAACTTGGTTGCAGGATTTAAGCACGTTGTGTGTAAATTTTGACCTTTTCAACATTTTTGAATGCAGACAGTTTATACTAGACGCATCAACATAGACGAAAAAAACACCTATGTTTACAACCAAAGAAATTAACAGTAAAAGTTGACTGCAATGTGTGCTGTGGAAATGTTCGAGGTTGGACTACACAAGTTCTTTGACATTATAGGTATTTTAACTGTGTGACTTCCTACTTCTCTTGAGTTTTTCCTGCGTCATTTGTATTTTAATGCCAATTACACTGCAGCATAAGTAATTCAGTCTAAAACAGAAATGTTCCCTTTAATGATGTTAAAAATCTGTAAACGGTGAACTTTTGAAAAGAATCTCTTACTGTTTTTTTTTTGCAGTCAGTCAAAAATGCATCAAGAACTGCATATCTACAAATCCCATTTGGTTTACTTTGTAATTCCCCCCCCCCAGTAATTTTTATTTGGGCAATATTTTTCTTGAATTCCTATAACCATTAGAGTTTTTTCTTGTAATCTAAACCGTCATTACTTGGAATTGTAATTTCGAATTGAATCAAATCTTTGGATGTTTGGTTGTCTCCCTGTAGGAAGTGTGTTGGAACACATGGGTGCAGAGCGTGTATCGTTTTGTGGCAGTTTCAATTAGATGTAAATATATTATACATGTGCTTTTTTCGGTCGTAAACATAAAAATCCATGCATATGACATGGAAAGTGAGAGGCTTGCATCGTAATAATTTGGCCACAAGCACAGATATAATGAACAGTCTGCGAGGCGCTCATGTGCTTACAAAAGTGAGCATTATGCTAGTTTGAATATTAGGCCTGTGCACGCGTTTTTTTTTTCCAGTAGTCGTAGGGAATCCTTGGATTTTTATATACATGTGTTATTTTCTTCCAAGTCTTTTTTCTTACAGGTTTTTCTTACAACACAGTTGTCAGGTGAACTTCCATTGACAAAAGAAGTTCCCTTTTTCAATGCATGGTAGCTTTATGGAGTGTTTGTTCTGGCAGTGCTGTGCTAAACATGGTAACGAACAACCTCAAAGTCGGACACATAGTAATTATGTATTAAACAATACATGTGTGCTGATTGGTTCAGTTATGGGAGTCGGTGCGTGGCGTCCTGAATAATTACTGTTGTTACATGTGTCGTGGAGTACCCTAAATTCGCGCAAACAAATCTTCGCGCATCCAACTCTCTCGCCGTGAAACTCTTCAACGAAATTATGCACCGACATTAATTTACTGTCGGCGATCGATCGTCACTTCAACGTTTTTTCTTTTTGCAGCTGGGTCTATGTGCGAATTAAAAGCTTTTCCAGGGAGAAATCGGAAAAAAATGTCGACTGTGCATAAAGCTTTACTTTACAGACTAAGTACAAAAATGAACCGGTGAAATTGTCTTGAAAATGGATAAATGATCGCCGTTCGTTCACGATCGATGTTGAACGTCCGATGCGAGCACTAATGATGACTTGGATCAACTTTCGCCAAATATTGAGAGCCTTATCAAACATACGGAGCCAGAAAAGTACTGTGCACCTTATATTTTGAGATTCCCGTTGTCGACGACGGGCGCGGATTCGGTAGCATTGTATTTTTGTGACTTTTTCAGAAGTACACTTAGAAAGAGAAGTTTTGTCATAATACCTAGAAAAAGAACTCATTAATGCTAATTATGATTTATTTGAAAGAATAAAAATGAATGCCTCACTGTAACTTCAAATTAAATTGGAAGAAAAAAATTAGAATCGAGGAGAACCCAAAAGAGAAAGTGATGGGAAGTCAAGCTTTTGCGAATTGAATTCCTCATTCAACAGACATTAACTGGCACATTTTTCAGAAGTAGGGCATTACTGATACCCCGTAAAATGACGTTGGCAATGTACGTACGCGAATTATGGTGACGTAGGTTTTACCCCAGCCGATCCGACACGTTTGCAGACGACATTGTTTCTGCTGCTTCGGTGACATCTGATGTTCTTCATAATATATTATTCCTTTTAGGATGTTAGTCAAACTTTCAAATACTGAAAATGAAGCCATAAAAAATTACTGTAGGCCTTTATTTCAAAACAGATTTTGGTCAAAGTATTATATAAATCTAATATAATTAATCAGATAAATTCTCGTCCATCATCCAAGACCTCCGGCTGCAGCCAGGCGACATCATGGTCAGCTTTGATGTCGTGTCACTCTTCACCTGCGTTCCCACATCCGACGCAAGCACTATAGCGACTGACCGACTCCAGGCCGACACCAGCCTCAAGGACCGCACCGACCTCACCCCCAACCAACTTCAAGACCTCCTCACCACCTGCGTCGATTCTGCCAGCTTCCAGTTGCGGGACAAATTCTGTGAACAATCAGCTGGAACCTCCATGGGATCCCCTATATCCCCGGGTCTGGCTGGCATATTCATGGAAGAGTTCCAGCAGACCGCCATTGCCACAGCAGACCACCGCCCCAAGATCTGGCTCCGGTATGTGGATGACACCTTCGTCATCTGGGAGCACGGGCAAGACAACCTTCAACTCTTCTTGGACCACCTCAACGGGCTTCACAGCAGCATCCACTTCACCATGGAACAAGAGAGGAATGGCAGCATTTCATTTCTTGACGTTGAGGTGTCCAGAAGGGAGGATGGAAGTCTTGCCCGGAGGGTTTATCGCAAGCCCACCCACACCGACCGATACCTCAACAGCGCCTCCTTCCACCACCCCAAAATCAAGTCATCGGTCGACAGAGCCCTCATCCGCCGAGCCTACAACATCTGCGACCAAGGGCACCTACACAAGGAACTCCACCACATCTCCACGGCACTCCAACGCAACGGATACCAGCCCAAGCAGATCGAGACTCAAGACCCAAGATCAAGTACCCCTCCCGGCCGTAGGGTCCCCTATATCCAAAGCCAACTAGATAAGGCCCCTAGTTCTGTCACTCTCCCCTACCTAGGACGTACCTCCCACTACATCCAGCGTATCCTGAGCAAGCACAACATCAAGGTGTTCCACACAGCTCCCCTCAAGATCCACGGGATGTTGACTTCCCATAAGGACAGGCAAGATCGACACCGCCGACCAGGTGTATACAAGATCCCCTGCCAGTGTGGCAAAGTGTACATTGGAGAGACTGGTAGGGACCTCCCTACCAGGATCAAAGAACACAAAGCCCATGGCAGGAAGGGGGACTATGAGAAGTCAGCCATCATCAAGCATTCCCACCTCGAAGACCACACCATCAACTGGGAAGAAGCCCACCTCATTGCTAGCATCGAACAGTGGTACCCAAGACGCATTAGAGAAGCCTTAGAAATCTCCAAACACCCCAGCGTACCTCAAGACATCGGCTTCTCCATCAGCGATATCTGGCAGCCCCTCCTCACCTCCCGGTCTGATGGGTCCTCTATACCCTAGCCCCCCCCCCCCCCCCCCCCCC